TATAGAGAACCAAGAAATTCGTTTATGAATTCTAAATCTGGGAACCCTCGTGGTAATCTTCACATCTGTCTGCGTGGTTTAAGGATGAAGTTGTAGCGATACGTTGTACACCCACGCCAGACTAAATCCACTCCTGATGCATTTCCATGGAAGGCGATAGTGTTATACTAGGAATAACTTTACCCCCTTGTATCCATTTCTGAAAGAGCGCTCTTTTTCACTACTGGCTAATTAATTACTTCCAGAAGAAAAGTGTACTGTATTAAGATTAGCAACTCCTTTTCAGGACAATACTTGTTATTTATTTACTGTTCAGGACAAGTTTTCCCCAAGTTCAGCCCCAAAAGCTCCTGATGAGAGATCATCATTAAGATTAACAGTCCTTAGGGCTTGGTGCTGCCAGCTGTGACTTTCCAGAGTAGCTCCAGCTCACGCCAGCTGCATTTTTGACCAGAGTGTAGGAGACAGCAGCTAATTCGATGGCTTGCAGCCAGCTCACCTGGGTGAGGACTAAGGGAAGAAAGCTGCTGGTTTGCGGTGTGCAGTATGTTCTCTGAATAAGGGGACGCTGGATGAGGATGCTCTGGAAGCAGCCGGGGTTTGCAGCTAGGAGATCTGAAGGCTGCAGATTCGCAATGGCAAGGCGATGCGGTTGCAGAGAATTGCAAAACAAATTCCAGATTTTTTGTTCTCCTCTTGTTAACAGTCATGCTGGGAGAAAGCGCGCCGCACTTGGTATGGTTGGAAGCTGGATTTTAGATTGTCTTTTTTGGCAGGATGTTTCTTAGAGATAGGCGATAAAAATGGAAATAACTGGAAAGTGACTGGGGAATGAGTTGTCTGTAGATTCACAATCCCACCAGAAACTGCATGAGAAGGCTCTGGAAGGTTTCCCCGTGCCAGGGTTGCTGCTGCGCCTTTAGCAAATCAAACTACTTGCACAGTACTTGCTTCTTAATCCGGGAAAATTAAAACCACCAGTGATAGCGACATTGTCTAGCCATCTGCTCTCCCAGGTGCTCCCACGCCTGATCAGAGATGAAGTGATGTGACCTAGAATCCTACTGCAGATCTGGGATCGTTCCCAGCACAGTCCCAAGCTTCAGTCTTCTGCATGACATCAGATGAAGTAAACATCAAGATTTGATGCGAGAGCATATGTCCATTGCATAATTCATTAGAGTTCTTCTCTGGAACTATTTTTAGATATTTTTTCAAACACAATTAGAGGGTGAGGATTATTCAGGAAAAAAAAAAAAAAAAAGATAAGAAAATTATGGGGGGGGGGTGGGTTTCAGAAACTCGAATAGGTACTTCTCCTGGGACTGAAGGCAAATTTGGCCATTCAGCTATGTGTGCTTGATTTTAAATAATTATTGCTGTCTTGGACATTTCCACAGTCCTTCGTGGCAGCTCAGCTGTGGGATGGTGTAAATCCAATAGCGGCACGGGAAACCTGCTCCTTTTTTTTACTTCCCACTGCTGCTAAAACCCCTGTGAGGTCAGACAACATAATTCTTCCCTCACACCAATTTCAGAGCCGTATCACTCCATTGCCTTGAGTGCGGTTGTTCCTGATTTCCAAACACGAGACACATTCAAAACTATTTACCTTCTGTTTTGCAACGTATCTAACACTAAGTGTTGGTACGACGTAGCAGGCAGAGTAGATGGTTAGCTTGCCCAGGCTGTGCAAACTGCCTCGTAACTGCAAATCATTGCAGCGATTACAGCTTGTTCTCTTGTGTCAGCAAGAAAATGCGAAATGCATTCAGCTTGTGCGGGACACCTGGGATGTTCCTGTGTTCTTAAATGCAGGCAGTGCATGCCCCTTTTTCCTTGCTTCATTTCACCTGACACACACAGGATGAGTGGCTTTGCTGGAAGAAAGAAAAGAGAAAAAAAAAAAAAAATTAAAAAAATAAGCAAACCAAAAAATACCACAACAAAACCCCCAACCCAAAAAACATATTGTACAGTATAAGTCGCTGAAAAGAAATGGAAGGAAGGAAGGAGGAGCTATTTTGAGGGCTTTTATATCTTCCTTATTGCTAGGAGACTGCTTCCCGTGTGTGCAGTGCTCTCCAGGCTCTCAGCAGCTGCCTCATTTGTACAGCAGCGTTGAGGGCAATTTGTGGAGCAGCTTTGTAGGAGAGAAGGAGAAGCAAACTTGGATGAGAGCTTATTGTCATTTTTCAGTCTTTCTGAGACAAACGCAAGAGTACACGGCAGACAACTGCAGGTGCCAAGGAGAGCATCGTGCCTGAAATGTCAAGGATCTCGGGCTGACCTCGGCGTGTTACTCAGATTTCAGGACAGCCATGGCTTGTTCTCTGCAAGGAGCGGTGTGATTATACCACGTTTGGCTTAGATTTGTAGCGCTAGGGAAGCCACTAATGCAAAAATGTAGTATTGCCAACCACTGAGCCCAGTTTTAGAGTGTCCCTGATGGTCAGCCCATGTGCTGTGTGGGAACTTACACCATCAAGTACCAGTGCCCCGAGTCACACCAAGGGCAGATGCTCAAGGCAGCTTCAGGAGAAAGCGTGAACAGTGGCCAGACCCACCGCTAGTGACTCCAGCGTATAGAATTCTCAATTCTGAGTAAAAATTATTCTCTGGGAACCACAGTTTTAATAAGGCACCTGAAGTAAGCTGACTGAGGTTGGGATTGTAAATGGACCAACCTAGTGTTGTAGTCATGGGTGAGTAAAGCCTAGAAAAAAAAAAAAAAAAACACCACCACCAAATCTAAGAACATGAGAATTTATCATCTAGAGGGGAGTTACTGGGACAACTGTGTAATATCTCTTACCGTTTTTTTCACACTAATGCCAGATGGCTAGGAATGGGATCCCCCACGTTCTCCTTCTAGTCTGAGAAGACAAGAAAATAAACAAGGAAAATGTCTGTGATGGTATTAGTTGGCTGCCTGATAAGGTGAGTCATTGATTTTGATTGCTGAAATAATGAGGACTGCTTTCTAATTTGATTACCACGTTAACCCTTCCTGCTCCATTTGGTCCTGCCCCACAGATCTCAATCATCCTGTTAGTTCCCACTCCTCCCTCGTGCTCCCTGCTTGTGACTAATGCCAAGTTTGGGAACAGTAGCCAAACGTCAGGTGCCTTCAGCACTGCAATGTGTCAATGGACTAATGGATTCCAGCAGATGTAAACGGGATGTCAGAAAAGCTTTATTCAACAAAAATTAATACTTGGAGGAGCCACCTCCAGCAGGTCCCAAAGGCAGGCCAGATGCTCGCTGTTGGCACGGGCTGCCAGCTCGGGGCTGGACGGCAGCCTTCACCCCAGGGATTCCCACTTGGTGTCTTCACACCAGCGTGGTGACCTGGTCTGTGATTCTGGAGGTTTCCCTTTTTCATTGTGAATGTGAGAAGCCAGGAGCTCTTTGCGGGTGCTGACGGCCATGAGTAGCCGTGGAGCACGTGGCTGTGCTTCTCCTCCTCCACCACATCCAGGAGCGAGTACTCCCTTGTCAGGCTTTCATCTCTTGCCATGACAACAAAGCTGTCACACGATGAAGCTCTGATAAGATGTTACCAGCAAACCGCGCACGTTTGCCCACACACTTTTGATCAGGGACTGGTCCCTGTCACTGCCTTGTGGCTGGCTGGACTTTGAAAGCAGCTTTGATCCATCTGTGCCAATGAAACAGAGTTGTTTGAAGTCTTTGATCCTTTCTGTGGGCAAACTGTGGCCAGGAAACTTGATGGGCTTGAGATATTTCTGAGGATTTCTTCCATTTTAAGAGTCATGAAAAGTGAGATTTGGCAGCTTTTCCTGTTGGCTGGCTTGTGTTGTCTGGGTAGAACCAGACAAGGGCATTTTACATCAGTTGTGTTGCTACAGAAACCCATCCCTCTGTTGCTCACATCATCTACAAGACTGTCCTGTAAGTTATCAAGACTCAGTTACCCTTCAGCTACAGGACAAGACTGTGTAACGAATTAGAGGAGAAGAAATACGCAGGAATTTTCAGGTGTGGTCTTGAAAAAGATGGAAATTTTGGCAGAAAAAGATGGACGTGTTAAAAAATATTCCTGCAGGTTACTTGACAGGCCCAGGCTCCACGGATGAGAGGAGAGCCCGTGGGGTCTTCTCATCCGTGCGTGGGGTGCCCTGTGCTCAGGTTTTATTTTGGAGGAGCTTGGTACACTCTATGATCCCACGCTCCCCAAAATCCCCGGGTTCATGCCGTATGCATGTTCTGTGCACACGCACTGATTTTTAAACTATAATGTGCTGCCTTTTCTACCTACACAGTGTAGCAAAGCAATTTAGTTCCTTAGCAAATAAAGTGAATAACTGGGTAAGTATAAATGTGTTCCTTCACAGCCTTGTTTGTGACAAAATTGCGAACTAAATCTTCACAGGACATAGAGCTGCAAGTATTCGAGTCACATTCGGACAGCAAAGCCTACTGCACGCAGCTTTAATTACAATATTTCTCTCAAACACAGTCTTTCTCTCATGTTTTTCTGAACATTGTTTAAAGAACTGATGAAAGGGCTGAAAACTTTTCAAACTTTCCTTTTCTTAGGGTCCCTTCAGCTTGGTCTTTCATCACACTGTCGATAAACAGTTGAAAAGGACTCTTCTGAACTGCAGCAGGAGGGAGGAGGAAAAAAGGAAATTAATGATATCACCAAATTGCAACTCTTTCAAGTTCCCTTTAATTGCATAGGGCACAGGGAGCTCATTCAGTTTTTAATTCTCTGATCTCTTGCTCTCCCCAAAGGGACCAGTCTTCCTCTCCTCCCACGTTGCACGCGATTTTCCCGGAGCGTTGATCCCGGCAGAGCGAAACGGGGTGGACGCCCGGCTCCTTCCTCGGGGCTCCTCTGCTGGGCAGAGCCCTTCCCGGTGGGATTTTGGCAGTGGAGCAGCAGCCCGGGCTGGGCAGAGCCCTTCCTGGTGGGATTTTGGCAGTGGAGCAGCAGCCCGGGCTGGGCAGAGCCCTTCCCAGTGGGATTTTGGCAGTGGAGCAGCAGCCCGGGCTGCCCGTGGTCCAGGGAAGGCAGGGCCAGGTCAGTATTGCCGCTCTCCTGCAAGCCCCGAGGCCTTTCTCTGGGTGAGGACAGCAGAGGGTCTTCATAGAGGGCAGAATAAGTAAATGTTGGCCACAAGCTACGAGCAGCCTTTGTGCCCACCTCTGAGCACCCTCCACCTTTCTAAACCACGGCCCCTGGGACCTCAGCAACGCGTCCCCCAGCACACCCATGCTGGACCCTAATTTTAGGCCGGGCTCTGTGTGCTCTTCACCCTCCCACTGTCCCACACCAGGGCTTCATCTCCTGACCTTCACATTTGACCTCTTCTTCACCACAACATAGGAATAAAGTCAGACATCCTCTAAACAAAGCTCTCAATCGCCTGATTTAAAGCCGTGCGACCTTTCATGCAGCCCTGGGGTGCCCAAGCTGTGACCAGACCCTGCTGGGGTGCCCCGGTTGCACTGCCACCACGCAGGGATGCTTCCTACTCATTTAGGCACCTGGTAAGATGTTCTCCCTATATTTTGTCTTTCAGACGAAAAGATAAAGACTTTCGAGCGGAATGGAGAGGATGTGGGAGGGTACGTTGCATTTAGGTTTATTGTATTTAAGCTAGATAAATGCAGAAGCATTTTGGCATTGTTTTAGGACTCTCTTCTAATCAGCTGGCTTCCTGAAGAAGAAATTATGACACTTCTTGAAACCTTGCGAAGTATCGTATTTGTTAGAAATGTCCTTACGCTGCATCATTCCATCTTGTCAGTCCTGGTTAAACCCAGCCTGCTGGCTCGGTGCCTCACCTGCCCATCTGTGAGATGGCAAGTGAGAGTTACATATCTACGTAGTCCAAAGTTAAAAGAGAAAACAATAAAAACCGCAAGACTATCTGAATATTGCCACTGCCCACCACGGAGCTGCTCAACTAAACGCACCGAACGTGCCCTGGCCGTCTTTGTCTTGTGGGAAGTATCAGTGCCACAGGCTGAAAACTGCTCAAAGAGCCATTTCCACCGTTGAAAAGACTGAGAATTATAATTGCAACAGGTCCGTGGGCAGAAATGTGAAGTATAAAGCTTTAAATTCAAGTCACATTGATAAGTATGACAAATAAAGAGACCAAATTCCCTTAAAAAATGGGATTACAGAGGCTGTGGGGAAGAAATATTTTGAAGGAAGTTAAAGAGAAGTTAATCTGCTTTTATGTAATTGTTTCCCTATTCTTCCTGAACTGGCTTGCTTGGGAGACAGCTGCTTTCAAGGTTTACAGCCGTGCATATGGTTAGGGGGGCTGGAATTGGCAGCCGCCCGCCTGACAGAATAATGGCTAACTGGAAAAATAGCTGGGTATATAATTTACAAATGATACGACCGCATCGAAATCAGTGAAACACAAACTATTCATTTTTACAGTCTCCAGATTGCTGTCTGTTGTGATCTGTTCCCCCCGATTGCTCCCCCGCCGTGCTGCTGATCACCTCTCCTCCCACTGGCGGGGAGGCCGGCGACGAGCGAGGTCTCAATTTTTGGAGGTTTGTACGTTTTCGATACGGGCGGGAGCCAAAGGGTCGGTACCACCAGGCGCGTGGCTGTGCAGAAAGTGGGTCTGCACATCGGCGGCGTGGGGGGTGCCCCGAGGTCGGTGACCCACAGCTCGTTCCTCTCCCACCCGCCTCGTGGGCTTCCAGCCCTGGGGGGGTTCTCCGGGGGCTCAGGCAGCCCAGCAGGACTCGGACCTCCAGCTCTCAAAGCTCTGAAAGGAGCCAAACAGCCCTCGGTTGGTACATTTCTAAATTCTGAAATTGTCTGGGTTTGAACCCAAACTGGCTAAGGTGAAGCAATCACAAAACCAGCAGTAAAACTGGTGAAGCCACAGAGTTTGCTCACACCAACAGTGTTTAACCTTCTGCAGATAACCCCTGTCTTTCCCATCGGAAAATTGAAAAAAACCTTGCCCTTCAAAAAACAAATGCTTTTCTGAATGTACTGTTATTTTAAGTCTGGGTAGAACTACTTCTTCATGCTGTTTTTCTCCCTCAGTTTTTCTCAGTGAGGAAAATGACAGTAAAAAGGGTGAGAGAGTGGGAACCATGAAATGCAGACATGAATCTGGAAAAAAGGGCTTTTTCTAAAACCTGGAAATACTTCATCTCCAAATAAATGGCTTTCTGTACAGATATCCATTTATCGTGAACGCATCAGTTCTTACTTTCCCTTTGGAAAAAAAAAAAAAAAACAAACCAAGACAAAAGTGCTTTGTTAAGCCTTCTGTTCCTCTCCCCAAAAAATAGAGATGTGGCAAAACCCAAGGACACTGGGAGGTGATTCGTGTTGTGGCACGGAGGGACTGCATCTGTTCGTTCCTGGGATTACAAACGGAGGAGGCTTCTTTCCTCACAAATGCCCACGTTAACCTTGAGGTGATCTGTATAATCCATCCTACACCACGTGTTGAAAAGTGTCCATGTTTGAGAAACAAATGCCAGTCTTATTGAGGCATTAGTCTCAGTTGTATTCTGCCCCAGGACTGAAGATTTTACTAGGCTCAACTCCTCAGCTCCTCTTGACATTATCGCTCTGTTTGTTATCCCTCACTTAGGGAATTCAGCTGGCCAGCATGAACCGCCTTGATGTTTTCTTGTCGCAAATTCATGGCTTCACCAGGTAGGCAGTTTGTTACATTTGAAATATATTCTGCATGGGTTGGAGAGGGTCACGCCACCGTTGAGCCTCTCAGAAGAGCCCAAGCAGCACACAGGCTGGCATGGAGCACTGATAATATTGATTTCTCCAGCTGCATTGTGTTACAGAGTATGGCCTTGCAAAGAAGGAAATTACTCCAGCAGTTGCAGTAAGTGTAAAAACTGCCATGGCATTTAACGGACGCGGTGCCAGGGCTTTTATAGAGTGTAATCCAACTCTTTCAAAATTCTGCTGAAGGATGCTTGAGCTAACAAGCCTCGGCGCTCTCTGATGAAGCAAGCCATGTACATTAGCTTTATTGTCGAGACACAGCGCAGAGCGTTTATTGCTTTTGGCTCATGTACAGTGTAGGATCATTCCGCGAGTTTGCACAAGACTTGTCTATTTGTAGTTGAAAGTGAATTATTTGCTCATTAGTGGTTCGGAAAGGTCTGCTTACTCCCACAGTGTGAGACAGCTTGGGCTTCTCTGTGTGATGAAACGCGCTTGCTTTAGCCCATGCTCGACGGAGTCAGAGAACCTTCAAGGTGGTCCAGAGGACGTGGGATTAGGAAAATCTGCAACTATTGTAAGAAAAATATCCATCTCTCTTTCTTTTATGTTGCTCTTGCTTGCAGCACCGCCATCCCACCCTGGGATCTGTGCGTGCCAGAGGAGGGAGGTGGGAGCAGAGAACAGTGATGCTCTGGCCAGCCCCAGCCTCTCCTGTCACTTGGTCTTCCTCAGCGTATCAGTTCTGGTGAGCTCAGCCCAGGTTCCAGTAGCCTGCCGTGATCTTGGATTTCATACTTGCTTTGCACCTCTTAGAAAGCGTTCTCTGAATCCGAAAACATGGCAGATGGCAGTTTGTGAGAAGAAAACAGCTCTCCAGTGCCAGATTGAAGCAAGTCTGTAAGTTTTCATTGTATTTAAAAAAAAAAAAAAAAAAAAAAAAAAAAAGACAACAGTGCTATTTTGAAGGAAATAAGAATGTGCCTAATGCTTCCCGGTGTTGGCCCCGGGTGTTTGAATCCCAGCTGAGTAGAACTCCTTGGGTTTGGCCGGGGCAGCGCAGCGCTCCGTCGCCCACCCAGCCGCTCACGTCCTTCGGCCGCAGCGTAAGCGGCTGCGCCCCGGGGCGGGGGTCGGCAGCACCGCCGGGGCCACGGGCCCCCCCCCCCCCCCCCCCCGAGCCAGGCCAAGAGCTGCAAACTGCACCCTGCCTTTCCTGCTGCTCCCCTGGGACACCACGCAAGTTCTGTCGAATTGCAAAGGTGATTCTCTGAGTGTTTAGCGGGAACTTGGGCTTTTGGAAAAGGGCAGGAATTTTCCACTCACCCATGTTTATTTCTTTCATGAAACTGCAGCACTGCAACATTACAGTCTTTTGTCCCACTTCTTTTCTGAAATAAAATACTTTGTAGGCTTTGAAGAGGAATATCACAGACGCTGGTGCTGTACAGTAGGCTTAGCATATTTTGCCTCTCCGGCTGGAGCATTTGCCACTCACCTTTTTCCAAAAGAGTCATTTCTTATCGCTGCTAACTTCCAGGTGTTCACAGAGAAACAGGGCCAGTCTGCTCTGCCTCAACATGGGCAAATTTGGGATTTTCTGTTAGTTTTTTTTCTGTTATGACTTCTGTCAAACAAGGGTGGAATATTTAGTATTGTTATAATGAGCTGCAGTGATCCTCTACTGCCAGCCCCATCAGCTGAGAGGAATGCAGGAAACCATCGCCCAGATGTGGGCAGCTGTGAGGACATGGAAATCGATGGATATTCAAGGCGTGGATTACTGCAGGGGCAGCTTATTTGTGTGTAGACAGGTGGAATGCTGCGTATAGACTTGAGACAAGTTTTGCACCACTTTGACTTCAGTGGAAGGAAACTATTTTATAGCAGAGACTGAAAATTCTAGTGGGAAAAGCTTTAGACAATGACCCTTGATCCTGGTGTCTGTTCACTGTGGCATTGATGTGCAGGACCGTGGTTTTCAGTTCCAATTCCTCTCTATTTTATCTGTTTAAACCACTGGGTAAAAGGATTAGCCTTTATTTTGAGAGTTTAGTATTCAAGAATAGATTAAGACAACAGCATCCTGATGTTAGATGACCATTAACTACTAAATTCTATCAAATGCTCCAGCAGCACCAGTCAAATCAGGCCTTAAGTCCTAAAAGCTTTATACTTTCTCCAAAATAATTACACCACAGTATCACCTTTGAAGCCATGTTGTTCTTTGTTAATCAATAAATGAGTAATTCCTGCATATGTCAATTGGAGAAGTTCTAGCTGGGTTACTTGTGGCTCTCCCTTGGTCAAGCCAGAAGTGAAAAGCAGATTCTTGTGGCTGAGTTACAAAACCACTAAACAAAATGGAAATGTTGATGTTCATTATTGATTTTATTCTTTGTTGCCATGGAATGGTGCTAGTGGGAGCTGTTGTAATCAGATTACTTTAAAACTTACTTACAGATGGAAGTGCTTAATTTATCCCCCCTTTTTCTTTTTCCAAAGTGATACGATATCAAGGTATCTATTGTGTTTCTTGTAGAGCATCCCTTCTCTTTTTGGTTTTCTCATTGTTTGTGTAATTTATTTCTTATCACTCCCTATGATCTTTTTTTAAAAAAAAAAAAAAATGCACGTTTTATCTCCTAAAGTAATCACTCATATTTGTTATGGAATAGAATAGACAATGATTGTTGAAGATAAAACCCCCAAATGTTTCTGATTTCTGGAAATATCTATTGAAAGCTACATTTACTAAATATTCATTTAAAACTCCCTGTGGTGTCAAGTCACAGACACGTGCCTGTGCAGCCTGTACGTCTTTGGGATTCAAGTCAGACAGGCTGATACCAGTTTACCTGAGAATCTGGGAAATGCTGCATTTTGAGTGATATATCCTCTCATAATCTGTGAGGTTTAAAGGTTTTTCTGATTTGATTCTTTACTGCCTTCCCCATCTTGCATCAGATCAAACAGGGTGCGAAATGATAGGAAATCCAAATGGCACATTCGCCTGCCCGCCCTCCGCTCATTCGTAGCAGCGTGAGCAATTGCAGCGAGTGCAAGAGAGAAAGAGTAATTAGGCCTTAATTGCCCCTGATTAGTCATATGTAATGTACCACTATTAGTGGCAATTTCAACGAGCAGAGTGTCCGGGGAAGCCGTCCCCCATCCTTAACCGACGGTGTTTACGAGCTACAGCCACCAGCCCTTCCCTGCCGAAAGCTCGCCAGCTCCTCGCAAAAACACCCGGCCGTGGTCCGCTCCGAGGGGCTGCTTGACCCGGGGAGAACACAAGATTTTTAACCTCTGGAGGCAAATTCATCCCTCTCCTTGCTGTGTCTGGGCTGTATTCCCTGCAGCAGGCAGCTCTGAACCCAGCAATTCCCACCGGGCTCCCCCTGACCACCACCAACCGCCCTGGACAGCAGTCAGGAGGTTTTGCCAACTTCGCTGGATGGCAGCAAGTCTGGATACCTGCCTCTCATAGCCTGGCTCATGGGTTTATAATGATGTATTTACTCGGGCACCTGGAGTAAATGAATTATATTAAGCTTCTGCAAATGGTCATAAATATGATAGTCTGTGTGAACTGAGGTAATTGCCTGCTTTATATATGTGTTTATCTTCTCTGCGTTGCATACACAATGTGCATTATGTCAGAAAGATGATAAAAAGCGGCCATAACGCTCCTGAACTGTATAAGTCTTTTTAGTTTATGACTGAGGCTCGGAGTTATCTTATGCAAACTTAGCTGCAGTAGGTTTAATATAAATTAACATACTTACAAAATGTCAAGGA